ATTGATCAGAAAAACTGCGGTTTCGGCGGCACCAGACCAAAAAATCTAAGGGAGAGAGGAGGACGCCAATAAGGTGAGAGTGGACTCTATCACGTGCCAATGCTTTCGTTCAACAATACCATTCTGTTCATGAGTGTGTGGGCAGGCAAGCTAATGTCCAATGCCTTGTGAGTCGAGATATTGGGAGAGCCGCCAGTATTCACCTCCCTAATCARATTGAAAAAATTTAGTTTTGACATCAAATAAATTCTTAACATGCATTTTAAACTTAAGAAAAATGTCAAATACATCAAATTTTTGGTGCATTGGAAAAATCCAAGAAAATTTTGAGAAAGCATCTACAAACAATACATAATATCTGAAACCATTACTGGAAGCAACTAGGGTTGGTCCCCCATACATCTGAACAAACTAGTTCTAGTGGATGACTATAGGAAGTAGAAGATGCTGAAAGGGAAAAGCAATGACTTTTCCCTAGCTGACATGCACCACAAACTTGTGAACTAAACGAACCACTATACAGAAGACCAAATTGTGAAAGAACTCATTGAACAATCCTGGTGGAAGCATGCCCAAGTCGATGATGCCAAATTCGAACTAATGCTTTCTCACCAACAAACGCAACAGCACTACCTGATGAAGTGGAAGAATCAATGGTTGTTGAAGTAGGAAATTGATAGAGCCCACCTTTACTGGGTCCTCAAAGTAGAACTCTCCCCGTATGGTCCTTCAAGAGAAAATAAGAGGGATGAAATTCAAAAATAACATTGTTATCCTTGGTAGACATGTTGATTGAAAGAAGATTTTTTGTAATTGGCGGGACAAGATAAATATCTTGCAGATGAAAATTATGATCACCATGGGAAATAACAGAAGAACCAATATTTTTAATTTGCAAACCTGCGCTGTTATCGATTTTCACTTAATCAGACCCACCATAGTCTGATCGAACCTGAAGATTGTCCAGTTCGGATATAGTGTGGTGTGTCATTCCTAAGTCCGGATACTAAGCCGGATCAAACTGTGATGAGTTACTAGTGTGAAATGTTGATGTTCAATAGTAGGGTTCAGAGCAGATTGTCAATCACCACCAAGGAAGGAAATATCAAATTGGCGATGGCACTTCCAAACTCCATGACCAGGAATATTGCATAACTGACAAATAATGGTATTGTCGCATCCCTTACCGTGTCCTGAATTATCAGTGTAATTACCACGACCACCTCTACCTCGCCCACGCTGGGAGTTATTGTGCGGTTACTGAGAGTGATTCTTATTGCCAAAGAAGGCCAAATCGGCAAAAGCATTATCGTCGCTCTTAGTGTATTGATTCTCCCGAAGCCAAGAGTCTCATGGTTAAACAATTGGCCAACAATATTAGAGATTCTCAATTTATCAAGGTTAGATCGATTAGTAATAGCAGTAATAATCGATTCATATTCAGGTCCAAGTCCAGCCAAAATAAATAAAACAAGATCCTGTTTTGAAATAGGTTCAGAAATGGCTAAAAGATTGTCGGCAATACCTTCGGCCTTTTGAACATATTCAGAAATAGAAATAGTACCTTTCTTGAGACTCTGGAGTTGTCTCCTTAACTGAAGAATTCTAGATCTAGAGTGCGAAGCAAATGAGTCTTCTAATGCACCCTATACTTCGGCTAATGAAGACATACCTACAACTTGAGTGAGGACGCCTTCTGTGAGAGAAGAAACTATCCAACTAAGTACCAATTGATCCAACTGGTACCAATGATCAAATGCTAGGTTGAAGATCTTCCTTGTCGGATCTTTTGGGTCATCGATCTCTTCAAAAGGGACAAGAGTTTTTCCTTCTACCATTCCCATGAGTTTATGGGTTCTGAGAATTGGGAGAAGTTGTGCATGCCATAGGAGGTAGTTGTTGTTGTTCAGCTTGATGGGCAAATAATGAGTGACGTTTGGCATCGATGTTAGTGTTCCTGGATTCACAGCTGAAGCCAACGATCCAAGATTGTTGATCCCTCCTTCAATCGAGCTGTTGAAGATCTTCCTTGTCGGATCTTTTGGGTCATCGATCTCTTCAAGGACAAGAGTTTTTCCTTCTACCATTCCCATGAGTTTATGGGTTCTGAGAATTGGGAGAAGTTGTGCATGCCATAGGAGGTAGTTGTTGCTGTTCAGCTTGATGGGCAAATAATGAGTGACGTTTGGCATCGATGTTGGTGTTCTTGGATTCACAGCTGAAGCCAACGATCCAAGATTGTTGATCCCTCCTTCAATCAAGTTGTTGATTGACGACATGATGAATTGGCTCTGACACCAAGTTAGAAAAATAACAAATAGAATTGTGAAATGGTTCAAGATGATTGGGGTCATCGAACCTTGTTCTATTTATAGACAAAAAGATTGAGTTTGAATACAACACAATTATTAGAGTTTGTGTACAATATTCAAGTTTGGAGATTGGTCCAAGTTATAATAGATCTCTATCTAGGGAGAGATATGGATCTTATCAAGATAAGAGAGTAGAAAAGCAATTAGAGATTAAGTAGAGTGAAGTTGATCGCACGTATAAATCATGCGATCTCATCGCATGTATGGGACATGTGATAATCTGGTGACATGTCACCATTATCCTTGATAATATATATACATACATATTCTTTCTTCCTGTCTCAGATAGCTTGAGTGTGAGAGAGGATCCAGATAAATAGGTTGGCTTTGGGTAAAACATACCTACATCTCACTCTTTTTTATACTTCACCAATCACCACCTTTGTTAATAGATGAAATGATCCAATATCTGAGATCAAACAACATCCACACCTAGCTTAATCAAATTTGAGAACTGCCCATGTAAACAGGCCAGGTTGGGATATTCTTGTCATGCATTGTCGGGGCGGGACCATAGAAGCTACTTAATATATTAGTCTAAAGGGAAAAATCCCGATCAGTACCCTGCACTTTGGCTCGGGTGACAATTTGGTTCCCAAACTTTAAAATGCGACAATCAAGTATCCAACTTTCAAAATGTAACAATCCAATACCTGTCGTTAACTAGTCCATTAATCAGCCATTAAGTGACATTTGAAAAGTGAAAAATGCCCTTCGAATGCCATATAATCCTCATTAACAACCATCCAAACATTGACAAAAAACAGAACAATCCCAAATTCCAGCCTCTTCTATTCAAAAAAAGTTGGTGACTGTTTAGAAGAATCTAAAATTTGGGACTATTCATTTTATTGTCATTGTTTGGATGGTTGATAAAGAGAATTAGATGACATTCAAAGGATATTTTTGACTTTTCAAATACTTGATTGTGACATTTTAAAAGTCTGTGGACCAAATTGTCACTCGAGCCAAAATATAGGTTACTGATCGGAAATTTTCCCTAGTCTAAAATAGAAGATAACTCACCCGGCCGTTTGGAATGCTCATGCCATTGAAATACCACTAAGGCTTTTTTTTCAATACTACAGCTAACTGTGACACAATGGAAGCATGCATACAAGATGTGGTATTTTTGAAAGCATCTCTTCTGCAAAAAAAAAAAAAAAAGTAGACAACCATCTCATTCCTTTATCAGTGTATCGCACTTAGAGGATTCTTTTTATTCAGAAATAGTGATCTGATTTTTTTTTTTTGGTATTTAAATAGTGATCTGATTTGAGACGTGCTTCCAAACATCTCTCTTTTTTCTTGGTTTCTGAAAATAGCTACTTCCATTGTTATCATATCAATGAATACAAGTTCACCAATGCTAAATGAAGTGGAACCAGAGCAGCTAAAATGGAAGTTGAGAGAAAATGATTGAGGCTGTGTTTGGTTCTATTGATTCAATAGAAAATAAGAGAAGAATAAAAAGTTGAAAAAAAAAGTTATAAAGAAATTTCACAAATTTTGTTAACAACATTCCCTCAACTTTCTGTTACTCTTATTTCCTATCAAACCCAAATATAGCCTTAAGTTCAGTAAATAGAAAATAACTTCTTAAGATATATAAAAAAAAATAAAAAATAAAAGCTATAAATCATGTATCAGCAATCTTGCCTGCACCTGGATTGGAGGGATTATGAGTTTGGGGATGGGCTAAATCCCATTGTGTAGCCCTTCAGAACATAATAAAAAAAAAAAAAAAAAAAAGAATACGCCATGTCTCTGAACCCCCAAAAGGGTATCGGGCATGTAATGATACAGATCCCACAAGGAAGAAGAAGTATCAAAACGTGGAAACTTCCATAAAACAGTGTTCATTTTCAACCTCGTTTAGATTTTAAAACCAATGTTGTAAGGCTTGAACGGGACTAAAAACAGAGTGCTCCATGGGTTCCAGCTCTGCCGGGTTAACCGGTAGATTAACCTGTAAAAACCAGGTCATAACCTTGCGCTCAGTTGTTCAATTAAGATTTCTTTTTTAATTTCAGGTAATGTTTCACTATCTGCGCATTCCAAGGCACCAAAAAAATGCCCTCTTTTTTGCATTGGATTTTGATATTTAATATAAAAAATTAAACCTGAAGTAAAAAAAAAAAAGTTCAGCCTTTGGGTGGGTTTGATCAAATATTATGAAATACGTTCTAGAGTTTTCTAGTTCATGTAATACTTGTGATAAGATGATGTACATTAATATTTTAGTACAGGATAAAAAAGAATTAAAACCAAGAATTACATCAAAAAATTAAGTTTTATAGAATAAATCTGATAAATGGATATGAAATGTCTGGTCCATTCTGAAAGTATAGTTTCTTTTTCATATATACCCAAGAAATGCACTATGTCCTGACAATCGAGGCTAAGGCATCCCACTCAACCAGATGCATATAACACCCAGTCTCTGGCAGAGTTTGCACAGAATTATTATTTCTATAGTAAGTTCACCACAACTTGGCAAGTTCTTATTTTAATCTCTGTGCAGAAGTTCTATTTGTACTTGTAATATCTCAGGAAAGCAAATGACTAAACCTAATCTAAACCACAATATGCCCATTTAAATGCTTGAAGCAAGTTTGAACAGCAAAATAATTAAGAAACAACAGAAACAAAATTGAATATGAATTGGCTGATAATACATCAACAAAGCAAATAGTCTAGACTTTAAGTCATACAATGAATATACAGAGTTTAGGATAAACATGAAAACTGCCAAGATTATCTACAAGGATAGATAAGCTTATCAAGATGAATTCCGAATTGTAACAGATCTGGATACATATGTTTTATCAAATCATGTATAATTGTATAGAGAAGATGAAACATTCCCATGTGATTATCTTAAAACCCACCAACTTCAGTCGCTGAAGTTCAGTGACACACCAGATCCCAACACACTACTTAAGTCCCTTGCAATCCTAACACTATTTTGGGAAACAAAAGGATGTGCTTCCACACCTGCTGCTTATTACTTAAACCACCTCTCCTCATTTCAATACCTGTTTTCTGCTTTGATTAACCAGAAGGCTGCATTTGTTTGCAATACAAACTTCATTTGTATTAGAGTAAAAGAGGGTGTGTAAAAGGGCCGAGTGTAATCAATTTGTTGATTTAAGCATCAAAGTGCCCATTCTGAATAAAGCATCCCGGACACTCGACCAGACGATCTATTTAGTCCAATATCCGAACTATTCGCCAGCAGAATACCAGATCGTGCATCATCAGAACCCTAGTTTTCATTGGCAAAAAAGTCTATGCCAAATCACCTATATGGAGATAGTAACTAGTTCATAAGAAGTGGAAAATTCTCCACGAGTACAGTGACTGAGGAAGCACAATAAGGGAATAAATATAAAGATCATACATTCAATCACGATAGCTTTCAACGGGCCAACCAGGCTACGTGGAAAGTATTCTGTTCAAAGTCCGACAAGCTTGAATAGTATTGAAAAATACCAGAACGAGATCATTTCCTGAAAGGAGAGATCAAATAGAACCACAAACATGAAGCGAAAACTTGGAGACCAGTAATTTGCGGCAAAGGTCGAACGCCTACCGGAAAGCAACTCGTGTTACAGAAATTTCAACTCGTAGTTTTGTACTTCTGTTTGTTGCCGCTTGCCGGAGGCTTGGTGAGATAAAAGAGTATAGAGAGAGAGAAAGAAGGTAGACGCGTGTCACAAAAAGATATGCTGCGAATACTGGTGTGTGATCCAGGCTACTTGACCAATCACGAGCGAACACGCCGTATACGGCACACTAGCGTGTTCATTTGTGATTAATCACTTTCACTTGGACCGCGTTTGAAAGTGCTGCTCCTTTTCAACGGGCTATTGAGAAAGCAGCTCTTTGGAAAAGTCTTTATTTAAAAACTGCTTTTTAAGCGTTTAGATGGGTGCTTTCTTTTGGCACCAGCTTTTTATTCAGAAAAGCCCTTTTTCTCTACAAACTACAATATTATTGGCTATTAGAAACCAGAGAAAAGGGCTTACCTATTCTGCAATTACCACTATGCCCTTTCCGTAAGAATCCTAAAGCTACATTAGATGGGCAAAAGCAAAATATTACGGGTTTAATATCATCGAATGGCTGGCTAATTTTGCTTCAGGATCAGGATCAGGAGCTTGGGTTTAATATCATCTCATTTCAGGATTTAAAATTCATTCCATTTGGAACATCCAAATAACGATTGAGAAAATTTCGATTTTGGTTGACTTGGTTAAAAATCTCATCTTTGTAATGGTGAAAATAATTTTATATGATTCAGCGAAAGAAGTTTTACAAATCTTATAAAGCTTGTTAATCAAAGTCATTGAAAAAGTAAAAAAACTACATGTTTTCTAAAATTTCTGTGCTTCTCATTAACAAACATTTTGCTTTGCTTCCTGCTCAGTCGTATGGATTCCATTGCTTCCGTTGACATATGGGATACATGCTCTATTAGTACACATTTGACCAGACAGAAACAAAGGTAACTTGTAACATGACAATTATTAACAGAAAAAAAAAAAAAAAAAAAACTGCTTTGAGCCCAGTAATATAAGCATAGAGTTTCTTTCATTTATTTATTTTTTAAATTAAACTCAACAAAAAAAAAAAAAGAAAAAGAAACTCATCGATCTCTTCTTATATATTCACGTTATTTACTTTTTTTGACAACGCCAAAGAATGCGGATCAATTAGAAGCTGCCACGTGATCCATGCCAAAGGGAAAAATGGAGAATTCATGGAGATACCGACTCAGTAATGGTAAGTTGTTCCCACATGACATAACAGCTAGCATGGGAAATATCTCCCTTGTCATTGGAGATGTTCCTAATACACGGTGGCAGTGTCTGGTGGGTATTGATGTGGGAACAAATAATGGGTATGGGTAGCAGATTCAAAGTGCCAAGTAACGGCCGAACTCAGCAGAACAGGGTTTTTTGATGCAACGGCTTATCCACCCGTTCATAGTTGGTACCTGGAACTACATGAATTAGGTCATCATCAAGGGTCCTTGTCCCTCACGAATCCTTCCATACAATAGTTTTATTTTAAACTCTGTTTTATGTGACATGTTTCAACATGTTTTCTCTCAATAATCTTCCTAAATCAACATGGGAAAGAAGAATATTTCTACTATTTTCGCAATGTATAATCATACAATTAAAGGTAAAAATTTCACACTTTCTTATAATCATTTCTCATCCCGTCCCTCCCAATTCCTTGGATAGCTAGGAGCCTAGGACCAACATTGGATAATGGCCCTTTTCCAACATTAGCATTAATGTGGACAGTGGCAAGTTTATCAAACTATAATCCCAAAACATAGTTATTGAAGATGCAGTAGGTCTGGAAGAGCTGTGAGAAGTTTATAAAGTTAGAATTCTGATAAAAATCTTGGGCTGAAAAGTTCAAATCGGAGAGTGTCCGCTTCGTGCACAGATGCAGGAGGTTAAGTAATGACCATTTCTTTAGTGAAGTTCTAGTCATGTCCATTTGACAATGTGGGTCATCTCTGGGTAGCATGGACTGGATTGGTGATCCCAGGCTCCCAGCAACTTAGATTTGCTAGAAGCAAATTATTCATGTTAAAAAATTCGGTGCTGTTTGATCCAACTGGTTTTTTAAGATCCAACTCTAGAAGCAATGAGCCAGAAGAAAATTGCAACAAATAAACAAGGGCATAAATAGAGTAAGTATCCATTTCAAACTCTTCCTAAGATCCACTCCAATTTCTTAAGAGAACATGATCCAAGGTCTGCAAGTATACCATATACACTCTGTGTTGTCATCAAGGTCACTAGAATTAGACCGCCCAATTATAACAGCAAAACAACCCAAAAAGGATATGTTATGAACTGGCCTCTTATATACAACTATACAGTCAAACTTCCGCTAAATCGACAGCATCCTTTCGAATCCAGCACTTCATAACTCATTTTTTTAATGAAGAACTTTGTAACTCTATGGCATATCTTCCAACTCTAGCTTCCAAGCCTTTGAATCTATGTCAGCCTGTCAGACATAAATAGTTAAGATTAGTACCATCCAAGGATTCCGGTACTCTACATTGGTTACTATTGCAAAGGTATCTTTTCGTTATAACTTGACCAAAAACTAGAAGATAACTATGAGAGCTATTGTCCAGGTCCAATTTTATAGAAGACTGGTTTGAAATTTTAAACATGCCAAGTGCTCAGCACAAGGTGTCAGGAAGAACTTGAGAAGTTGAGAGATAAAATTTGGATTCAATCTGTCATATCATCAAGCACTACAGCCATCAGAAGTATTTGAAATATTAGCAAGGTATAGTTGTTTTCTCTTTGAGTAATTTCTAATATCTACCAAAAATTTTTACGAGTGAGCTGGTGCTTAGACCAATAAACATTGAGCTTGATTAAATCTGTGATAAAAGAATGTACCTGAAAAGCTTTGTCTCTCCACTGGAGTACACATCCACGGGTTTCAATGTGTTCAAGAAAAGATTTAGCAAGCAAGGGCTTAAAGGATAAATGGAGCTTCACTTTCCTTAGTCCACCGCATGCCAGCAGTGCAGCTGCTAGCCCATTTGCAGTCAAACCCCTCAAGTGCAATAAATTTATGCAATGTAGGCAGCTGATGCTTGCTAGTGCCAAGAGTCCAACATCTGTTACCGAACAATATGACAAGTTTATCTGCAAAAAAGAAAACAAAAATATTACTATTACTTAGTTGTTAAAGATATCATGTCAATCTGCAATGGTTCAAACTCCAAACAACAAGAGAACTAGAACTACCTGTGTGAGGTTTTGAGAAAAGTGAGCAAGTGAAAGCATCCCAACATCATCAATATCGTGACACTTTTTTATGTCCAGTCTGGTGAGTTGCTTACATCCCACAGCTATGGCTGAGAGACCCACAGATGAGATACAAGGACATCCTCTAATTTCAAGTGTATTTAACCTTGAGCATTTTGACAATGATCTTAATGAATTATCAGTAATGTCTTTACAATAGGCTACATTAATCATCTTCAGCTGATGGCAACCACGCGCAATTGCCGCAATGCCTATGTCTGTTATTCCTGTAGACCTGAAAAAATAAAAGGACTACAATCAGGTAAATTATGGCCAGCTTTTTGTGTCAATATGAAAAGACTACATTGAGAATACAAGCAAGCGACAGACAACTTGAAATGTCATTTTACAATATTTAACTTTTAGTCCTGACTGCACACCCAATGAAGCCAAAAACACAAGAAAAAAGATAAAAAAAAATAAACAGAACAAAAATATAATAATATGAAAGTACTCAAATGAAAGAAAGAAAAAAAAAAGATAAAAAAGTGTGGTTATGAGAAAAAGAAAGATATTGAAGAAAGCATATGGACTGTCTTTGCAGTTTCCACTTTCCACATACTCTGAGTCCTCAAAAACCCAGTAGGAATCATAGGCAGCATATAATGTTTAGTGGTGGATTCTTCCTGGTTTGAGTCCCATTACCAATTGTCATTTGCCATTATTTTTAAAATTAGTGTACAGTCAATACCCATACCCACATATACATGCATACACAAACACAACCAAGTCACCATTTTCTATCATTTCTATGGCATTGGTTTACACACCCTGGGTTTTTCCTTCTTCGAGTTGCATTACCAATTACCATTTGTTGTCATTCCCAAAATTAGTCTACATTTTACACCCATACCCACATGCATATATAGACACAAATACAAAACTTAAACTATTTGCTATTATTTCTACATAATTGGTTGATATTGCACATACAAACACTAAACATAGATTCATGTTTTTCAATGGATATTAGGCCCTTCCTCGGGTATAAATTCACATGTGACTAATGTATCCATCTGTATTTGCTTTCTCTTTCCAATTCCGTGTCATTGAATGACCTCCTTCTGAGTCTAATAATAAAGTAACATGGATATCCTACTTGATCGAGTTACAAACCTGTACAGATCAAGTTCTATAAGCTTTGGACAGAACATGCCAATGTTGGTGAGCCCCTCATCAGTTATGTTCAAGCAAATTCCTATTTTCAAGCTGGAAAGTTCAGAACATCTTGAGATGAATTTGAGACCTGCAGAACAAGCAAGACAAATAAGTCTCTAGATGGTGTTGTAAATTCATTGTCAATTTTGGTAAAGGTCTGAGATCTGACTAAAACCTTCGTTGTCGATTTTGTTATCTGTAAGGTCCAGTTCTTCCAATAGATAACAACGCTGTCCAATCAGGATAAATGCCTCCTTTGGAACAAGACTACAAGATTCCATTCTGAGGGAAACAAGGGAGGTGCATGAAGTAGTGATGCTATCAATAGATACATGAGTAATCTTGCGACAGCATGTTATGTCTAGCTTCTTTAACTCTCTGTGTTTTGACAAAAGGAAAGAGAGTCCTTCATCAGTCACTCCTGAGCATTTACTTAAGCTTAGCTCCCTCAGTGGTATACAGCAATTCCCAATGGCATTTAGTCCATCACATGTAACCATACATCCATTTAATTTGATTGAATGCAATTTTGAAAATTTTTGGAATGCCTCAGCCAAAGAAAGTGTAACCTGAACCACAACCAGAGTTTCAAGTAATGAAAATGACAGGAACTCAACTCAAACAATTAAGAAATGTATAAAAATATGCAAACTTACAGGAGAACCATAGGCTAAAACCAGTTGACGAAGATTTTCTGCTCCATTTATTAGGGAAGACAAACCCACATGGCCCACATTCTGACAATGAGATATATTGAGTACCTGTTACGAGCCAAAGACAGAGATTCTCTGAATGCAGGGAATATGATAAATGAAAGGTTTTTCATGCATGGTATAGGAAACAAAACTTTCTGTGTTCAGTTGATAATGTAGTATGTCACAAATCCAATATCTTATGTAAGAAACTTTATAATACACACACACACATTTGATTGATTATAGAAACTTCACAATATTAGTATGCATACATTTGAAAGGTCTAAATTGACTATCATGAAAAATGTTTTGATATCATGCAACTAAAAGCCATGTCTGAGCAGGTGATGAACAGACTCAGGAAGTGTCTTCCAGATAAGAAATTCTTCTAACATATCAAGATATATGCACCAAACTATCAACAATGATTATGCATTATCTAATTTCCTTGGATTGATCAACCAAAAAAATCCTTGGATTGTATATAAACCCTAAATTCTAGTCATTTGAATATTAAATAGTTGCCCATTTCCCTCAGCAATCAATTTTCTATTTCAAGAAAACCTGTGTAACACCCCATTCATGTTTGAGATTTTATACTGGTAAAACAGCTATTGTGAAACAGCAAACCAAAGATCCAAAACCAATTGAAAAATAAAGAAACAGAAAGAAAATGAAAAATAGAGCAAGTCAAAGAGCACACAGAAATTTTACGTGGTTCAGCCTTGTTGCCTAGGTCCATGGGAGGAGGAGCAACCACTATATCAAACAATTGAGTACAAGTATGAATAACCTCTCTCAAACCCTACTGCCCTGTACACCAAAAACCGTCAAACCTTAGGGGAAAAGATACATTATATTTGGGACCCAAATAAGTGAAAATGGATCGGGTCTGTACCACGGGGCACCCAATGAGTTTTCCCCCTTCAGGTTCTGCTCCACAAATGTCAGGTCAGGTCATGGAGCAGAGCGTAACCAGGAATTCAAGGCACATATACAACAACAGCTCATACAATATGGTGTGCATCACCAATTGAACTACAAGTTTAAGTCAGATTTTCTCTAGTTCTTGACACAGCACGGGCAATTGGCATTAGCAAAACATATTTCATTATAATTGCACAAAAAATTCTAGGAGACCGAAGCAACAGTGCAATATCATGAGTTGAAATCAAGACATAAAAATGATCAGACACTTCTCTTTTATACAAGAGTAGCCATAAAATGAATTGCATATTATAATGATAAAAAGATGATTTGCATACTAATAGTACCTCAAGGGATGGGTGCTTTTGTTTGAAGGCTGCAAGGCCTTCATCATCAATACCTAAGCATCCTATAAGAGCCAAATCTTCCAAATACTGTAGTTGAAAGATAAATGGCAGGCATTTGTTGGTGATCTGGACAATGAAGAATTTCAATTTGATGAGGTTTTTGCAGAAAATATTATTGTCAAAGAAAATGGAATTGTTCAGTAAATTATGTCACAGAATAATCATTGCAAGAGAAATACACATCTAGACCAGGAGTTTTCATGTAAATGAATGGCAAGAAAATTTCTTCAACAAATATGACCGTGCAGAGTATCTAATATTTAGATTCATCATTTTGATTCAGTAATACACTTCTAGCTTTAAAGTTTAAACCCATCCCGTCAATATAGGTAAACGTCCTCCCAAACTATGGACCATGTAGAGGAAAAATATACAAGTATGACCAAGTCTTCATGCACCATTCGTTTTGCATATATTGCCATGTTACAACAGAGCGTTGGATTTCTGCTTTCGTTATACAGAGTATAGATTTGCATTGAATAAACAGCCTAATCAGCCACAGGGAATTACAAACCCAATTAGTATGAAAGATCACATGCACTTGTGAAGTTGTGGATCACCCTGGTGTTTTGATTTTTTTGGTAAATCTCTAGTTTTGATTAGTGAATTAATAAGTATGACTTTTTTTTTAATTAGGAAAAAATACATATTTGCTCTAGAAATCTTAACTGAAGACATTACATAATCTACAAATCTATGAAACCAAATTAAGAAAATGCAAAATTAGAATTAATGTAATCAATAAAGAAAACAAACATAGAGGAAACAAACTCCCCAATCATCTGAAGTAAACAAAGCAATTGCATTTCAATTCAGCATATGGAGAATAAAACATCAAGCCCCTTATAAGTTATAATCATCAATTTACACAGCATAATCTTAAAGTGTGATAACGTATGATAATTAAGAAAAGATACCACTGTGTGCGTATGTGTGTATGACAGAGAGAGAGAGAGAGAGAGAGTTCCATTTAATTGTTTGGCGAAAGGGATCTGAACAAAGAAGCAAGCAACTCTGCTAAATGATAAACTAGATAAGAAGAAATCGAATAAAAAAGAGGCATTACCGGTACATAGGAGAGATCTAAACTTCGGATCTCCTTGCACTTGACAGCAAGCAAACCAACCCCCAAATCAGATACACTCAAACACCACTTCAAGCTGATAACCCTGAGCTTCCTGCAGCCAACTGCAATACAGCCAATCCCTAAATCCGAAATTCGTTTACACCTGGCCAACGAAAGCTTCTCCAAATTCTTCGCCTTTGCAATCGCCTTGGCAGCAAAATCCGTCAGCTCCGTTCCATTGGAGAGATCTATCTCGACCAAGGAGGAGCAGTTAAGGGCCAAACTGGTGAGGCCCACGTGGGAGAAGAATTTAGATCTGGAGAGGTCAATGGAACGCAACGGGGATTTACAGAGACCTGAGACGACGGAGAGGGAATTGTCATTGACCCGAGGGCATAGCGAGAGATCGAGATGAGTAATGCAGGGATATCGGTTAAGGGTGCAAGTTAGAAGCTCGGAACGGAGCGGTTTGAGAGTCTTCCGGTGTCGAGATTCGACTAGGTAGAAGGACTTGCATACGAGACTGAAGGATTTCTTGTCGAGAGGATTCTCCTCGAGGCAGTCGAGAATCGTGAAAAGAATTTCTTCCGAGAGGAGGTCGAACGGGTTGAAACTGGGCTTCTTCATGGATCCAAGCTTCTTTGTTTATTTATAATTTCGGGAAAAGATTTAGGATTTTCAGAGAGCGGCGCCTGCGGTTGCAATTGCAATCTCTTCTAAGACTGATGAAGCATATTAATGGAGTGCCGGATAATAATTGATAGAGAAAAATTTATATTTGCAGGAAATTTTCAGGGACTCGAAATCGGATTGTTCGAGTGGTTGAAGTTGAAGAGTCCTGGGATTTTTTTTATATAAATTAACGGTTAACCGAAAACATTTAGCTCTGGTTGGTGAGCATCTGCTTGGGGCAGAGTGAGGAAGAAGACGTTACAGCAAAATTACTGTTAACAGCCTTGCCTTAGTCCGTTGGTCGCTTTACGGAAAGGTGGCTGCCTGGCTGGGTGTTTCTTGTTTGTTGCTGGAATGACGAAATCACCCCCCTTATTTACTTAAATTTACCCCTGCTCCCTATCTATCAAAAACAAAATTACCCCTTTCCCAAGGCGTGCAGAAAATTATTTATTTATTAATGTGTCAGCAGAAATGTTGAGCAACCTCACATGGATGCTACAAGTCTTTCTTGTTTTGCCACGCGTATTGATCCTGTCGGTCGTTGTCGACAGGTGTTGAGAGTAATCATCGTCCGCCAACGTCAGGGTGTGGTTCGCAATTTTATCAAATTATATTATTTCCCTATTTTCCAAATGAAAGAAAAAAAATAAACGCCATTTTATGGCTGTTGTAAGGGCATTTTAGGCATTCTATATAAGTAGATGCTTTCGTACGGGAAAGGACGAGAAGAGTATATAGTGACGTGGAGGAGTTAACGGGGTACGTTTGGTACTAGGGAGGAAAAGTCAGAGTCATTTTATTTTTCTTCAACAATCTATCCATCCATCTACGTAGACCATCTCTATTTGGTGGAGGGAACATTTGAGGAAGGACAGATGCAAGTGCAGGCAGTACGAACGCCACAATAAATATAAGGATAAAATAGAAAAATCTTCCCTGAATTTTATGACAATTATAAAAAGCCTTGCCTCTAGTTTCATTTTAACAAATACTTCCCTTTTCAAAAAAATTAACAGAAACCTCCCTTTCGTACCCATTCTACCTAATCTCCCATTCTTGAACTCCATTAACTAGGAACCTTGTTTAAAACTCCATCGGCACAAGAACAGAAAAACCCTGGAAGAATATTTATCATTTTCACCTCTTTCAATCTCCTATTCTTAAAATTTCATCGACTCAAGAAAAGGTAGAAACCACCGTTGACTCTTTCAGTCCTGAAACTTGCTCCAATCAAGAAGAGAAACAACATTTGACCATCGGAGATTGCCTGGTAGAGAAGCGAAGCAACGTTTCTGGTTTATGCACAGGAAAATACAGATAAAATTTGAACTTTAGCTATAGATTAGAAGGTGAACTGTTGTAGGTGATTGTTCTTCACTAGAAGGTTGGCTGAGAAGTGTGTTAATCAACTTAAAAGGCCGACTAATTTATGATGTTGGTTTTCTAGTGGAAATGCCAAATGATGAATTCTTGAGTTTGATTTCATATCAAAAATAAAACTAATTGTTACACTATTCAACTTTTCCCCCTATTTTGCTTTTGGGTTTTATGTATTTATGAACACTTTTGAATGCATCTCTTTTCTCATTTTGGATCATACAAAATGTCATTTATTGAGCATTGATTTGGTTTTTTTGTGGGCTTCAATGAATTTGTGCTTTTATTATTTCTATGTTTTTGGATTGGATGAAGCATAACTTTGTTTGTTCTGCAATTTCTTATCAGTTGGCTGCTGGTTGCTCAACTTACAAGTCACCAATGATGTTAGTAATACCTTCAAAAGAAAACGTTAACAGATTACATCACAGAAGAATTGATTTCTTGTCCTTGAGAGCCTTGGTTATGTTTCCATGCGGTATTGGTGAGAATACCCACATCTATTTGTTAAATGCAATCCTCATAGCAAGAGAAACGGGAAAAAAAAAAAAAAAGCTTTGGTGAGAAATTGCTCGAGGGGGAGTAGATATGTATACAATGAAGAACAGCTGCTGGTGAAGAATAATTGCTGATAAAAAACTGTGGTTGGTGAAGAATGGTTTTTAGAAAATGGGAAATATTCTTGGGTGAATGGAATATTTTGAATGATGGTGCCATGCAAGTGTTTAGTAGTGTTAGGGTTCAAACTCTATTCTTTTGCTCTAAAAAAAAATATTCATAAAATCGCTAGAGTGATGTTAATCGTATGAGAGCATTTTTAGATTTTTTAATACATTTTCAATGATGCCCTAACAATTAGTCAGTAGTAATTTTGTGACTTTATACATTTTCCATCTAGATTAATGAGCGGAAGGAGGTTTCTATTGACTTTTCAAAAAATCAGGGGAGATATTTGTTAAAATTAATTTCAAGAAACATTTTTGTGATTATCAGAAACTTCAAAGGAGATTTTTGTATTTTACCCTAAATATAAATAAACCAATAAGACGTTAAAATTTGTTGCCTATTCATCATATTGTCCTGTCTTTATCAAAAGGGAATAGCATCCTTGATGTAGAAAACTAGCATATATAGGAACAGAAAATAACCGAAATTGGAAATATGATAATACCTTTATCATTACGGTTGGATGGGAATGCTTTCTGGTCTAAGATTAAAATACTTACTATCTCGTTTCAAATATTCCAATCAAAGGGCGATTGGCGATGTGTTTGTTTTTTTTTAATCTCAGCTTGTTTAGACTTCAGATAAGGTCGCATTTAAAGGTTTTCTCCGCCAGGTCAGTATGATACAAAAGTCCTTTTGCCGTACTTATGGGATGGACCTCGCTAGTACCAGCCTGACCCTAATAAGAACGGACAAGAGAGGGTCGTTTCTACTTTTTAGAATTTTAGGTAGGAGTTTACATCTGCGCCTCACAAGAGGGCGTCCCACAAAGTGTAGAACGTCTTGTTGTAACTTGTAAAGCGGGAAAAATAAACTTCGAAAATGAGAGCGTCTCTCCGGTGAAAGGGTCACCCGTCGCCCAACTTGACCACACAGCAGATCGGCACTGTTGGCCGAGTTCGACTTCTGTCATGGCAAATTGATGCTCGCACCGTTTGAGCAGCCCCTTACAATCTTTACATCGAAAATATTTCTCATGAAATAAATCACATAAATTGGAAATATTTTTTATGTTGGAAGGGGTTTTGCCCTGACCAAAGCTGGACTCCTGTTGGCCTCTTAACATCTGCACTAAATAAGTAAATAATCCACCTCGAATTTCAGGAGAACACATCCACATCGTTTGTCCTCCGTTCTGCAACAATTTCTGTTCATCCAGTCGAGAAGTATTTTGAAGTTCTTTTACTGTCTTTTATTGTAAAAAGGTTTTTTGATCGCTTATTATTGTAAAATATTTTTCTGAGTGAGAAAAAAAAAAAGGAAGAAGATGAACACAGAGCCAGTGCCCTTTTTTGATATTTTAAAAAAAAAAATTATCCTATTTTAATTATTTCATAAAAATATTAATTTTTATTGATATTCTGGACAAGCTAGAAACCCAAGACAAAATTATCGATTTGTGAATGATGACGTGCGAATCTTTCATTTGACGCTAGAGAGCTTGAATATAGAAACAGTTTGATTTGCCACGTGGCAAACTTTTCGTCACGTCGAAGAACCATAGGCGACCTGCGCACAATAAATGCTCAAAAATCTTCCCTGTAAGTGTAAAGTACCCTAACTTTACAAAAAATGGAGAACTGTGATAGGCTGGGAGCAACTCAACCATGACTCTAACGTCAAAGGTCTATCCATCCGAGTAAAACTCGGTGTTGGTGACTCGTTCGTTGATAAACATGATAAACATATGATGATGTGGCGCAGTGCATGGAATCAAAAGACAACTGTACGCATCCAAACGGGGTTCGCATCTGCCCCCCAAAACGTCCCACGAAATCTAGGCGCAACGCGTGTCATGACAACGCGCACTAGAATAACTCGTGCGGTCTCTATTTCACGCCGTTTGTATGACGTCCGTTAATTCCTTTTCGCCCAAAAGGGTTTCTTTTTCCATTCTGGGTATTCTTTATCCTATTCTACTATGAATTAAAACCCTTGGGCGCCCCCTTTCGTAATCCACCCATCGGAGATAAACTCTTTCAAGTTCCGCCGGCCGACACCGACGGCCATACAAACGACGAGAAAGTAAGTACTCTGTAATGGAGGGAAGTAAGCGTTGCTGGTTTTCTCAGCGCCCCCTAATTAGGGTTGTTCATAAGAAGACCCAACCCGACCAAACCAACTTAATAGGTTTCGGGTTTTCTTCAGCATCAATCGATTTTGGGTTGTAAAAAATCATAAACCGGTGGTTCGGGGCGATTTCAGTTTTCATGTGAAAAAACTGAAATCGAACCGACTTAGTAGTTAGTGCCTATTTAGTAGTTACAACCTACTTAGTTCTTACTTAACTAAGTTGTCTCTATCCTACATACAACCTAACTTAATTTCTAATCTTCTAGTTAGCAATGACATTAATGGCAAGTATTGTAAAACAAATAGACAAGGAATTTTTTGGAAAAGTTTAAAGAAAATAATCAAAAGATCATTATTTTTTACACCAACTAGGCAACCGATTACAATTAGAATTAGGTGTCCTTTTTTTACTTAGATAAGAAGGTTTTTTAATACAGTTTGACTTTCTATTTTCTTGATAACTTCTAATACAATTTGACTTTCTATTTTCTTGATAACTTCTATTCTAACTTGGTCCACCCCCCTTAGCCCCTCAACTTAGAGCCGAAATCAACCCAACCCGACTCAAACCGACCAAGTCGGTTTTGCTTAACACATGATCGATTTCGGTTTCAATTTCAGATAACCCGACCAAGTCGGGTCGGTTGGAAAAATCTCAGTAAACCAACCCAACCCGACCCGTGAACAGCCCTAACTACTACACTTACTTCCCTTCCACCGGTAGCGTCGCTGGTTTTCTCAGCGAAATGCTTATCACCGGATTTAATGTCGTTGGCTCAACTGGATGTCGTTGGCAGCGGCCACAGAGCTGGAGTGCATAGTCATGGATTGGCTTGGCAAGATGCTTAAACTCCCCAAGTCTTTCCTCTTCTCTGGAAACGGTGGTGGTGTGCTACAAGGGACTACCTGTGAAGCCATCCTATGCACGCTCACGGAAGCCAGAGATCGGATGTTGAACGGAATTGGTAGGGGGAACATAGGGAAGTTGGTGGTTTATGGTTCAGATCAGACCCACTATGCACTCCAGAAAGCTGCCCAGATTGCAGGAATCTTTCCAAACAACTTTTGTGCCGTTGCAACGAGTAAGGC